AAGTCATATAAAATATGTTTTTTGACTACTGTGGAATAGTACTGACCACACTTGGAATAGGGTGACAACTTTAAGCAGTGCTTGTTCTCACCAGTAACCAACCTTAGCAGGAAGAAGGAGCTGGGGGTGGGAGAATTAGGCTTTTAACTTGCCATATCGCAAGTGAGAACTTTGCTGCAGGCTGGATGTTTGTGTTCAATATGGAAATGTTTTCAGTTTTTGGAGGAATCCAGATGACTAAGGGAGTCCTTTCTAAAGGACTAATGAGAGTTATGATCATTGATACACAACTCTTATTCTAAAGAGAGATAAATTAGGGATTCGTTTTTTCACAGGACAGAAAGGATGACCCTATTTGCTTTGTTAATGGCTTGGACCTGGGTGATAGTTATTTTCTATCACCCAAAGAGCATAGCTTCTCTATGGAGCCACATTTTCAAAATTTTCTTTTACATTCAGCATTGAAGGAACACATTTGTTGCATATATTGAGGAGGCCTGTGTTTGCAAATCATGCCCCAAATCAACACTTACAGGTCTAAGTGGTGCTCATCAGAGAGAAAGGTGGTTCCGTGTACATAGGAGTTACTAAGGATTCAGGCAGAGGCTAAACAGAATGGCCCAGCAGGGACTGGCTCCCAGTAAATTATTTTCTTGCTTACAGATTTCCTACCCAGTGGACTCACTGGGGTCATTTTAGTGACTAGACACAAATAACAGGCTTCTTAGAGTTTCAGACTTGAACCAAGTTGAACTTTTGCAAATGTGACTAAGGCCTGCCAGCTTGATGGCAAACCTGGGCCCAGCATCAGGTGCCAGCAGAAGGCAAACCCTGGCTGGAAAGTTGTGCTTTGCTTTTCATTTTATTGTCACAATTTTTCACAGTTTGCCTCATGCCACCTTGTTACTTAATTCCCACACCTCGGAGGAAAAATGTGTAATCCTTTAATATTTATGTTACTTACTTAAGATACTTAAGATTATGTTTCTGCCTAGGTGTTGCCAAGATAGTCAAGCCAACTCTTGTTTATAGAGGGTAGAAAATATAAATCTGTCCAAACTCTTTCACAAAATGAGGGCCTTAATATTTCCAAAGAGTTGAATTTGGTACTACTCTTGGAGAGCCTTAGAGAAGCGTTGTCAATACAAGGCGTCATTGTTTTAGGTTTCCTATCCATGACTTGCTTTTTTCCCCAACTTTCCTCTCTTTTGGCAACTTCTCCTCACATTCTGTCCTACATTTGGCCCTGAGTCAGTTGAAAGCTTTGCAAGTTGATTTTCCATTCCCATCTGAATTTTAGCTTAGCTGTGGAACTGTTTTCCATGTGTTTTTAATCATTTGTCCATGTGTTATGAGCTCATAGGGACAATATGGTTCCCCCAAGCTGCCTGCATTGTATAAGCAGAAACTGGCAAGGTGGCCAGTGGGGGAACAGTTTTCAGACAGATGCCCCCTACACTCATTTCTGTTGGTGATACACCACCCCCATGCTCCAACTGGAGTAAAACAATTTACAAGCTGCATAAAGTTACCCAACAGACATGTAGTCCTCTGGCATGAATTACCTCTTTTAGGAGTGTGATTATCCTTCAGGGGAGACATGCCTGGGAACTGTGGCTGGTGTGACAATGTTCAAAGGCCTGCTCTGAGACTGTGGCCAGGCTGGGAAATGAAGAATGGTTTAGTCCCAGATTCAATGGAAATTTGATTTTAAAATAGAATCTAAACACAGAGAATCAAGGATAAATTCTCCAGGACAAAGAGATACTTCTTAGAAAGTAAAATGTAACAAGGGCCTATGTCAGAAGTTTCCTCTCACATTTTTATTGGATTCAGTATGTTAAAACAAACATTGATTCACCTCCTAAATGTAGAGTGAGAGACCAGGAATGGAAGAGAAACAGAAAAATACATTAAACAAAATCCCTTTTCTCAAAGTTGCTGACAGGGTGGTCTCCAGCAAACATACTCCCTGCCCTTGAGAAGTCCTCTCCTCCTTGTTAGGAAGATGTGCACGTACCCAAATTAAGCCAAGTCCAAGTAATCACTGAAGGGCTGAATCAAGAAGGAACCTGGCTTTTCAGAGTCCCAAATGAATCTCAGTAGCATGGATGAGATGTCTCCCTTGTAGATCAAGAGTGGATGTGAGAAAGTAGAGGTGGGTTGGGATAAAGCTTCCCAATATTTGACTGGTAAAGGCAGAAGACAACACTGAAGTGCAGAACCTGAAACCTTCTATGGAATTAAGAAAATTTGAAATGATCAAACATTATATAAAAGCATCCAGTGGAATGCAAAGGGTTGACAATTCGGGGTCAACTATTGAGTAAAGTTGGTTGGAAAGGATGTGATTCCAAGAGCAGAGTGGAAAGGAGAAACGAACTGGTACGGTTTGATGGTCAAATGTGAGGAGACTTACTTATCTGATAGCTTTTATTTTTCTCTGCAGAAAAAGGGGTCATTTATTGAAAACAATGGAAGAGGCAGAGAAGTCAATGGTTTAAGATAATTAGAGAAGATTTTCACTAACCTACATGGAAAATGAGTGAGTTAAGTAGAGGAATGAGAAGGATTGCTAAGCAGAGTTGAGGGTTCTGCTGAGACAGAAGGCAATTTGTATAGAATCAATTTTTAGCCATTTTGTCTGGGTTTCTGAAAGCATCTCCGATTCCAGGTGTGGGCCCAGAGAAGATGAACAGCTGGGTGTTTTCAGGGTCAGACTTTCTGTTGTTGTTGTTATTGTTTTGAGACAGTCTCTCACTGTTGCCCAGTCTGGAGTACAGTGGTGCAATCTCAGCTCACTTCAGCCTCTGCCTCCCGGGCTCAAGAGATTATCTCATGCCTCAGCCTCCAAAGTAGCTGGGATTAAAGGCAGGTGCCACCATATCTGGCTAATTTTTGTATTTCTGGTAGAGACAGGATTTCACCATGTTCGCCAGGTTAGTCTTGAACTCCTGACCTCAGGTGATCCACCCGTCTCGACCTCCTGAAGTGCTAGGATTACAGGAGTGAGCCACCATGCCTGGCCCCAGTGTTGGACTTCTATTAGATGGGTGTGAGAGAACAAAAAAGGGACTAGAGAGTTAGAAATATTGTAAAAGTTTGAAGTGATGGACCATGGAATCCAAGCTGGATAGGAAAGAAAATGAAGACAAAGAATTTATGTATGTTAGTCAATTAATTACATAATTCATTCATTATTAAATGAACATTTCGGGGAATTTACTATGTGAAAGGCTGTGCTACAGTCTTAGCTGATGACTAAACAGATCCTACTTTTATGGACTTTAAAATCTGAAGTAGAGATAGATGTTAAATGTTCAGTCAAAAATTATTTCATGACAATGGTGGTAGTAGTATTACAGGGATGAAGTAGGGTCAGATGCTGTAGGAACTGAAATGTTGTTATGAAAGAGTGGAATGTGAGATTCACAGTTTAGAGTGGAGCTGTTCTTGGTAGTAACAGGGATCAGAATGTAATGGGTGTAGGCAGGCCACCTGGCACGAGGGTGGTCAGATTTCAGCCAGGGTATTGAATAGGACTTCCATGGGATACTGATGGCATGCTAATGGTCAAACCCAACCACATGGACACTGAAGCCACCCAGGATGATAGTAAGATTCAGGGTGAAAAGAAAGACAGGGGCCTAAATGAGGAAGACAGGGCAAGTAAATTGTCTCTGCAGACATTCAGGGACATCAAGTTAAGTGCCTGACGTCATAGAGTTTACAAGCTGTACTGCAGATCAAGGAATCATCTAGTTCTTTTGGGCCACAAGTCTAGAGATACTTCCACTGACATTACTTAGCTCTGAGATCAGCTATCTACAGAAGGAAAAACAGACAAGTTAAATTTTAAAGATGAGGAAAAAGGAGAACGACAGAGGCAATGCACTGGTGACTGCGTCCTGAACTGACTGTAAGTATAGACACAGGCACTGGGGATGGATGGACAGGTGGGAAGGTGCAGCACATGGTGAGGGACAGCTCATGCTGCCTTGGCCTAATTCTCAGATTTGCAGGAGCCCTCTCTGCGTTCTTGGTATGCAACTGATTAGACACATGTAGGTATTGTTCATGACTGGTGTACAGTACTAGAAACATCCTCAGTTGCAAAAAATAAAATACCCCCAATACGTCAAAATACTTCTCAATGGTATTGGGAGTGTTTTGGACAGAGGGCGGTGAGATCACTGAAACTACAGACAGAATAAACTAATCTTTAAAAGACAATCTAGGCATCAGTGCCTTGAAGTGGAAATGGGGATTTTTTTGTCTGCAGTTACACCATTTGATATTTGTCCTTTTCCACTGGTCACACATTTTGGTATCTTTGGGTGACAATTTTAAAAGATTGAATAAAGAAACTGACAGCAATGGTTCTCTCCATGGCAAGGACAGGCAGCCTGAGGTGGAGCCAGAGCAAGAACAACCTTTCATTGTGCATTGTTTTGTGTGTTATTTAAATTTTTTGTTACTATGTGTATTTATTACCTACTCAAAAATAAGAGAAATGTACTGCACCATGTCTACAGTGCTTCCTTGAATTCAACAAATATTTATTATTAAATAAAATTAGCTCAGAGAAAGCATACAGTTCACTATGTCTTTGGGATTTGGATCTACCTGACAGTCCCTGATTAGTACAGGAATGATGCCTGCCTAAATTTTCTTTTTGTTGTTGTTGTTTGAGACAGAGTCTCCCTCTGTCTCCCAGGCTGGAGTGCAGTGACGCAATCTCGGCTCACTGCAACCTACGCTTCCCAGGTTCAAGCGATTCTCCTGCCTCAGCCTCCCGAGTAGCTGGGATTACAAGTACCAGCCGCCACACCCAGCTAGTTTTTGTATTTTTAGTAGAGATGAGGTTTCACCATGTTGGCCAGGCTGGTCTCGAACTCCTGACCTCAAGTGATCCGCCCCGCCTCAGCCTCCCAAAGTGCTGGGATTACAGGTGTGAGCCACCATGCCTGGCCTAAATTTTCTTTGTAAAACTTATTTTGAACATAATAGGCTGTCCCTATAGATTGCAAAATCCACTAGACCTGAACCGGAACAAAGACACTGTCACTACTTATCTCCAGTTCCTAGCACAGAGCTGGCGTTCAGATATGCGCTGTGAGAATCAATGAATTAGTCCAGTCAAAGGAGCAGCTCTGTGGAATGCGGCTCTTCCTCACATGTTTCCAGGGAAAGGGGAGGAGGAAATCTACATTTTGAATAATTAATTAAATTGTTCATTAAAAGGTTTAAGGGGAAATCATATATCCTAATGTTCCCTTTTCCTTATTTCTTGGAAAATAAGAAAAAAGAGCCTGTCTTCTTTTGAGTTTAAAAAATAATCTAATCTTCCATGATGTGATTGCTATTCTGTGTTTTGAAAAGAGAGGTAGTGGTGAGGGAGTGGCATGTTTCCCACACAGATTGTCACTGAATCCTTCAACCAAATGTCCTTTTCCAGCTCTGAGTTTTCCTCTTTAACTCTACTGTCCATCCCCCACCTCAACACTGCCTCTCACCTTTTGTTGATTTAAGACAGGCTTTCAGGGAAGAACTTAGCCTCTCTGTTCGTCCTTGGAGAGTACCAGCCTTCTTTTTAACTGTCTTCTGAGAGTCTCTAAGACAGGCAGAAAATGTAGCTGTTGCTGTCTTCTCACAGGCACACTGGGGAGCTCTGAAAAGGAGACAAACCATCGCAACATGTCTTGAGTGGCGGGGCTCATGCCCTCTTTTCTTGTACATTTTGTAAAAGTGTCATATGAAAACATTTTTTAATTTTGGTATCTTCTTGAGGTCCTTTAGAGTTCCTGAAGATATCTTAGTGCCTAAGAAACCCAGGTCAAGTTGAAAACCATCAGATTATGCTGAGAGTCTGACTTGTAAATGGAAATGAATGGATTCTGGAATTGACCACTCTGGTTCTCATGCATGTCTAGGGTTGGCCCAGGAAGTGGGCTTAGCAGGCTTGGGCTCACTCATATACGCTCAGGCCTAGCCGTCCCTGTGGCATTTGGTAACAAGTGCACTAATAATTGGTGATTCTGTCTCCTCACGAAAGCTTCCTACTGTATCTGAGACCCCCTCCAGACCTACTTCCATTTCCATTTGGCTCATCCAAATTGGGAGGTAACCAGATGCCTGTATCAACGGAAGACCAACAGAGGCAGCATGTTTTAGCAAAAGCTACAAAATATTCATTTATGTTCTTAAGAGTAGATTATAATGTATTACATGATACACGTATTACATGTTATACATACATAATTATGCACACATAACGTATCGATGGCTTTAGAACTAATGAATAGATGTGGTGGTGAAAGGTGATAGTCATTGCCTTCGGCTGAAAAAGACAGAGGTTGGAGATAGGCTTATGTTTCATAGTTCCCATCTCAGAGGCTTGCCTTTGCTAGATGTACTTTTCAGGGGTAGTATTTACTAATGGGGGTAGGGAGAATATTTCAAGATACTTGCACATTTTTTCAAAATAAGTGACAGAACAGCAAAAAGATATTCTCTTTGAGTGATTTTTAAGTGGCACTTACAAGGACCAAAATTAGAATCAGATGAAGGGAAGTTTAGGACTACAGAAAAGTGAAAAATGGATAACCGACATTCCTATAGATGATTTTATATAATAAAGTTAGATGATGCATAATAAATACTACTAGGCTGTCTAACCTACTAGAGGGCAGGGACAAAGTTTCACTCATTTTTCAATCATCTACCAGTATCTAAAATGACTCTTAACACAAAAACTGAGTCTTCTACAAATTTCAGTTCAACAGGAATTATCTCAACTGTATTTTATGTTCAATAATTCCAGAGCCAAGCAAACTGAGACCTGAGATAGAATTTCTGAGATAGTCTTTAGTTTGGGGAAATACTAGATACTCTGATCGATAGCAGTGGAATTTCAGTTCCTGAAAAGTAACATTTAAAAGGTCTCAGGAAAGATATCATGGCTGGCTTCCACACCATATTTATACCAGGAGGCCTAGGGACTGGCCCTGGAAAGGCTATAGCATTCGATGGCTGAGGGTAATTAAGAAATTCAAATAGCAGCCAATTTAAAAAAATGTTGACATAGCACAGGGCCTGACACCTATAATCTAGGCACTTTGGGAGGCAGAGGCAAGAGGATGGCTTGAGGTCAACAGTTTCAGACCAGCTTGGACAACATAGTGAAAGAAAGCTTAATCAGTGTTGACAAAGAAGGGGGAACACGTTCCAGGACTATTTGTGTCACTGAAAGCAAGGAATATAGTGATTGAATTAAAAGGGGAGAAATAAAAGCAGATATTGCATTGCTTCCCAATGGAAATACTGTTTGAATCATGTGGTAGGCTGATTGGACTCCGTTCTGGGTTTCAGTTTTGTGGACATGTTTCTTTTTGTATCCTAGGCTGATTCATGATAGTTTTGAATGATAGTTATTTTTAAATTTTCCCTTTGATTCCTGAAGATCCTTATTTGTCTCAATCTTTGTTTAGCCTGGCCATTAATTAGTGTAAAATAAGGGGAGATGATGTGGATTCAATAAGGTAAGAAACTCACTAGCCAACTTCATGCCCAAAGTTATCAAACCTGGTTCTTAGAATCCACGTTCTCATGTCTAGCTCTTTGTTTAAAGAAAAAAAATCGATAGGATGGCTGGAGGGAGACATTTCCCCGTCCTCACTGAGGACTGATGAGCTGTCAATCTACTACGTGGTATCCTGCTGAGAAATATGTGAACAATTGGAAGAGTTTATCTGATGACTGACCAGTTGTGAAATTTAGCACCCAGTAATTGATTCTTAATGTGAGAGGATTAACTTGGGAATTGTGAGTTTCTATGTGTGGAAAGGAGACTGTATTCCCTGAGTTATCATTCAAAAATCAATAACCCCAATTCACATGTAAGTAAGAGGCAATACATCCCTTGCTCAAAAAAATTAACATCCTTCTAGCTCTTCCTTTCTCTTCCTTACAATTTTGATATACTTCTTTGCGTGTGTGTGTGTGTGTGTGTGTGTGTGTGTGTGTGTGTGTGTGTATAGCCTTCCTAAAGACCTGGGCTTTTTCCAAATGTCTAATTGTTATCCACTATACTTCTCTCACAGCAACATATCTTGTCTACTCTATTCCAGCACGATGCAGATGCACAGCAAATGTGAGTTGACTCTAGTCCTTCTGACAACAGCCATGGGAAATTTAGGCAAAGAATATGTTGTTTTTGCTAATACTGCTCTTTAAGCCTCAGACACAGCTGAACTTTCAGCTAATTACCCCCTGGGTCCCAGGCTTTCACTGGGACCTTTTAAAGTACACAAAACCGAAGTGAAGGCAGGAGGCCATTAGCACTACATAATTCAAGCAAACAATAAATGTGTTTGCTCTACAGGCTACTGACCACCTGGCTTCCCATCCCACCAGTCAGGTTATCTATATATACAAATTCCTTGTTCCCAGTCCTGCAGGAATGAGCCTCTCCTTTGGGTTGTGTTATTTACAAAAGAAGCTTGGACTCCTGACAGCATGCATCTCCTCTTATTTCAGCTGCTGGTACTCCTGCCTCTAGGAAAGGCCACACGGCACCAGGATGGCCACCAGAACCAGAGTTCTCTTTCCCCTGTACTCCTACAGGGGAATCAAAGAGAGCTCCCTGCAGGTAACCATGAGGAGGCTGAGGAAAAGCCAGATCTGTTTGTTGCAGTGCCACACCTTGTAGGCACCAGCCCTGCGGGGGAAGACCAGAGGCAGAGAGAGAAGATGCTGTCCAGATTTGGCAGGTTCTGGAAGAAGCCTGAGAGAGACATGCGCCCATCCAGGGACTCAGATAGTGAGCACCTCCCACCTGGGACCCAGTCCTTCATCCAGCCAATAGATGGGATGAAAATGGAGAAGTCTCCTCGTGGGGAAGAAGCCAAGAAATTCTGGCACCACTTCATGTTCAGAAAAAGTCCGGCTTCTCAGGGGGTCATCTTGCCCATCAAAAGCCATGAAATACACTGGGAGACCTGCAGGACAGTGCCCTTCAGCCAGGTATGTAGTCTGAGGGGAGAGCAGATAAGGGTTTGCAGGTGGTAGTGGACAGCTGGGATGGATGGAGAGTAGGAGAAAAGGCTGTCGGGAGCCAGAGTCTAGCTTAACTACAGATTTGGTCCTTGGGCATTTATCGTAGGATTCGGCAAAGGTCAAGTTTTCGTCTAATCTTTCCATTTTTTTTTCTTGGCATTCTGGAAATGCTGCAAGAATGTTATAAGGATACTGTCAATATCAGTCATCATTCACATTGAAGACACAGAGCTTTGTTTTATTTATTTATTTTTGCACTGGAGGTGATCTACTCAAAGAGGTAAATCATACTGTACCCTCAGTTAGGAAACTGAGAATTTAGAGTAATCACCAGAACTCCTCTGTAGCTATCTTTCTGCACTCTATTAGTATGTAGATGAGCAGGTCAACTCCCTTTGTTGATGAGGTGGGGTTCATTGGACTCCTCCCCAAACATTCTCATATCCGTTTACCATGGTCTTAATCCCCACATTTCATACTTAACTACTTTATAGGCTTATGAGGGGCTTCTTTAATAGCTTGTTAAAGCTATATCACAACCTCAAAGTATGTTGAAGTTCTCAGGCAAAAGTTATCATCTCATTTCTAGTATTACAATAGCAAAAAAAAAGATTTTGTTTAACTTATTTTCTCATACGAGCTTTCAAAAAAATCAATCTTGATGTGAGATCATATTTCCTCCCCTTAGAAGTACCTTTCTCCTGATTCATGTTGTGTTGGCTGATTCGCAGTTATTATGATCAATTCCTTGCTATTAAGACACAGGGGCATCCTACTGTCCACTTCCTCCAGTTCTGGCAATATCTACATTCCAAATGTTAAATTAAAATTGAGAGCTTGCATCAGACCCTTAAACATGAAGATATTGAACCAAAAACAATGCAGGGTAGAGTAAAATTTTTCCAGTCCAGTAATGCTACCCAGTAATGCTTATTGCAAGCAGTCGTATAGGGCAATTGACTCTGCAAGGCAGTTAAGTATTCTGCCAGAAAAGGCAAGGATATGTAGCAATGACAAGTCAATTATCAAATAATAATGACTACTCTGTTGGCCACGTACAATTAGAAAATTACTCATAAGAATCAGGCAATCAAATTTCCTTTGAAATCCTTCTTTTGAATGCTATTGCTAATTAAATTAAAATTAAGATGTTTGACTCTTACGTATTTTGAAAGGAACATAAAGCTAGGTGATTGGCGTTATGAGAGGTAAAGGTGATGTAATGCACAATGATTTGCAGGCATACGCATTGCAACTCTGTTTGCACAGAACTTCATAGACTTGAATGTACTGCAGGTATTGCAAAATAGGATAGAATTAAAACTGTAGTGTTCTGATCTACAATCAATTTAACAAATATGTGTTGGGAGCCTACTATGCACAAAGTACTGTGAGGAATAAAAAGGTAAGGCATGTGCTGGTGCAATGGCTCACGCCTGTAATCCCAGCACTTTTGGAGGCCAAGGTGGGCGGATCACAAGGTCAGGAATTTGAGACCAGCCTGGTCAATGTGGTGAGACCCCATCTCTACTAAAAAAAAAAAAAAAAAAAAAAACTTAGCCAGGCATGGTAGCACATGCCTGTAATCCCAGCTACTCAGGAGGCTGTGGCAGGAGAATTGCTTGAACCTGAGAAGCAGAGGTAGCAGTGAGCCGAGATCACAACACTGCACACTCCAGCCTGGGCGACAGAGTGAGACTCCATTTCAAAAAAAAAAAAAAAAAAAAAGTAGGGCACATTACTTAAATAAGATAATTACCATTAGAATTTTTCAATTGCTTATATCCAATTAGACAAAATTTCTCAAAATTCTGCACTAATAGTGTAGAGTAAAATATTTTTATGTTTACTTAGGGATTTCCTAAAGGCTAATATAGTAATTTACTCAATGAAGTTTAATTGAGGTGGTTCTATGTCCTTATACATACCATCACTTGGATATTGCAAATTGTGTCCAAAATTGGAAAGCTTTGAGATTTTTAGTGCAAATTATCCTCAGATTTACAGTTCATAGCTTCTGCATTATGCGTGTTAAAGACATAATTCAAAATAACGTCATGGAAATGTGTTTGCTTTTTAGACTATAACCCATGAAGACTGTGAAAAGGTAGTTATTCAAAACAACCTTTGCTTTGGGAAATGTGGGTCTGCTCATTCTCCTGGAGCTGCACAGCCCTCTCGTACCTTCTGCTCTCACTGCTTACCTGCCAAGTTCACCATGATGCACTTACCACTGAACTGCACTGGACTTTCCTCCGTAATCAAGGTGGTGATGCTGGTGGAGGAGTGCCAGTGCAAGGTGAAAACTGAGCATGGAGATGGGCACTTCCTACATGCTGGCACCCAGGATTCCTTTATCCCAGGAGTTTCGACTTAAAGAGCTATCCCACTATTATTACCTTTGAAAAGCAAAACCACAACAGCAAAGATGCTGATTATTCAGTCTGAAAATGCTAAGTGGGTATATAATATTTTCAGGAAAAGATGGCTTGAAAAGGAGTTTTAAGATAGCATGATAGAGGAAATGTTATTAGTCTAGTTATTGGTACATGTTTGGGACCTTGTCTCATTTCTGCCACTAACTGGCCATAGAATGTTAAGTTGTAAAATCTTTCTCCAACTAAATATTTTCGTCTATAAATGAGGGACTCTACCTAGATGATTACTAAAATGCTTTCCACTACTAATATTCCGTGATGTATTTTCTCCAGGTTTGGGTAAAAGCCCTCTATCTAAAGAAGGAAAAGAAATAAATGAAATAAAAATTGGCTTCTTTGATAGCGTGTCAAATCATCAGCAAGCAAACAAGCAAGATAGAGAGGAAGGAAGGAAGGAAAGAATGAAGGAAGGAGGGAAGGAAGGAAGGAAGAAAGGAAGGAAGGAAGGAAGGTAGGTGAAATATTATTAGAAAAGAGTCTTGACCAGTTGCGGTGGCTCATTCCTGTAATCCCAGCACTTTGGGAGGCCGAGGTGGTGGATCACCTGAGATCAGGAGTTTGAGACCAGCCTGGCCAACATTGTGAAACCCCCGTTTCTACTTAAAATACAAAGAATTAGCTGGGTGTGGTCGCAGACGCCTGTAATCCCAGCTACTCTGGAGGCTGAGGCAGGAGAATTGCATGAACCCGGGAGGCAGAGGTTGCAGTGAACGGAGATCATGCCATTGTATTCCAGCCTGGGCGATAGAGTGACACTTTGTCTCAAAAGAAAAAAAAAAAAAAAAGATTCTCATAGTTACCTTTGCAACCCAAGCAGTGTTTTATTTGACTTCTATCAGACGATTAAGTCTTTCTGTAGATGTATGGAGTAACTTGCTTGATTGCCTCCTTTTTAAAAATACTCCTCATATAAAGTACTTAATGTCAGCTCTCTGACTTTGAAGAAGGAACAGTGATGCTACTTTTAGTCGTTAACATAGGGACGAGGAACAATCACTGGTAGCCAAACAAGTACCTATGTTATGAGAAAGGAAAAATATATGACCACTATCAGGTTTAAAGATCAATCCAGAGATGCTAATGAAAGTAACTCAAAAAAATTCAATCTTCAGTCTTCAGGTGAAATGATTTACTCACATGCATTTTGAATTAGGTAGTAAGGTTTCTATGTTTGAATGACTGCTTTTTGCTATTTAATAAAACGTTGTATTGTAAATTTTATTCGGCAAATGCCAAAATAACAAGTTCTGAACATATTCTAAATATTTTAATGCATTAAATTTTAGTATATGAAGCATTCTGGAAAATGTTCTTATATTTTTCCCTTGTTTGTTTCATGTCATAATTTAAAGGTACTATGGGGAGATTACCTAGCTCGAAGCATTTCTGGAATATCTTCATAGGCTTAAGCCACTGGCCCAAGGTTTTCTTCTGATCTCTAAGAAGCCTTCTGTTTAAGTCTCTCAATCACCTCTCTCCTGCCTGTATGAATTTTTACACATATATGGTACAGAACTGCCTTTTCCCAGCCAGACTACTTTCTCTATAATGTTCAAATTTTTATTTTAAAAAATTACTCTAATAATTAGGTTTCATTTACTTTCAGTACACACATTTTTCAGAATAACTGGGAAAAATAAATCAATTTATATTTTAATTCTATTCCTCTTTAATCACACCATTTAGCATGGTATTACAAAGAAGCAAATGCATTTGTATTTAGTGTATATTTTGCAACACATCAACATGAATATGAGTTACACAGACACACGTGGCATTTACACTGGAATATATTATTATACCCTTTGGTGGTCAAAGGCAACCTACTTGGCCAAGATATAGACATAAGGATAAAATTGTTAAGCATTAATGATATCTCAGTTGGTCAATATATTTTGGTGCCAAAAGCTATCAAACAGCTGTCATGATTGCAATTGCCTGACTCTGATTATGTAAACCTATCTCTGCCAATTAGACTCTCCTTCACCTCCTTACATACTTCTAAAATCTCTTTCATCTATCCTTGCAAATAAACGCTCAAGCCCAAATCTCAAACAGCTATCTGTTTTATTCAAATTTTGGTCTGCTCTTCCCTTGCACATATGTTCTAGATGGGATAGTTGATAGTTGTATCAAACTTTACATTCATAGAATAATTTCATGAAATGCAACAAAATGGCTCATATTCAGTCATTTTTACTTATTAAAAAAGGCAATTTGCAGTGGTTCAGTATAATATCTAGAAGCATAAGAAACCAAGAAGAACACAAGTATTGAACATTTATTAGGTGCCAGATACTATGCTGTCTTTTACAAAAAGTAAACAATTTAATCCTCACAAAAACCATATAAGGTAGCTAATCACCATATTTTTGGGGTAAGAAAAGCAAGCCTTATATTTAGTGTATATTATGCAACACATAATAAAGAGTATCAGCAATTTGCCTAAGAGCATTTGGAGAATATTTTCTATTTTGGAATAAAATATTTACTCATTTGTTCTTTGTCAGTTTATATTGAACTCTTCTAGGTCTCTTGCCTTTAGGCCTCAGAGCTAATTTCTTTTTACTTCCTATCTAGTTCATGTATCTGAAGAATACTGACGTTATATCTCAAAAGAGAAATCCTCTCTAGGTCAAGTTATCAGCCACATATTTCCTTGACTCAGTTGGTCCTCATGGCATGCGTTTTCATAAATCTTGGTCTCATTTTCCTTTCATATAAAATAAGGCTGGTAATAACTACCTCAAAATTATCGTGATGATCAAGTGTACATAACAGCACTTCAGAGAACTTCAGATCCTATAAAACTACAAGGGATTAATTTATTCTTCTTCATTCAGACTTCCTATTTTTTAATTTGTTTTGAGAAATGGAAAAGGCACAGAAAAGTGCAAAGCATAACATTAAGCTGAAATTCCCATCACCAAAATAAATAATTACTATTTTGTCATCTTTTGCTTCTAGTCTATTTTTGTAATAAGCCATTTCAGATATAAGTAAAGTTCCTTCCAACCACCATGCTGAGTCTCATTCCACAAGCCTTTGCCTATAAAACACACCACCCCTAAAAATTCCTGCTTATACTTTCACTTCCCTTTTATGTTTTTACAAACTTATGTGCACTTCCATAAACAATATGTAATATTATTTTGTATATGCACCACTTCATTCAGCATATATTTCTTTGTCCACCAACGATATACAAGATACAGCTCTGGGTGCCATGAATACAAAAAGGGAGCAAGTCAGACAAGATCACTCTATTGGCGCAGACATGGAATTTGAAAATCAATCAATGCATCAATCAATCAACTCAAAGGGAAAAATACCAGATGGCTATAAGTGGTATGCAAATAATTAAAATATGCTAAGGATTGATTAGATTGAGTGGTCTCTGAGATGGTGACATTCAAGCTATGTGCTTTGAATTACGTACATAATATTCTCTATTAATTGTTAAGCTGGGTGCAGTGGCTCACGCCTGTAATCCCAGCACTTTGGGAGGCCGAGGTGGGCGGATCACCCGAGGTCGGGAGTTCAAGATCAGCCTGACCAACATTGAGAAACCCCGTCTCTGCTAAAAATACAAAAAAAATTAGCCAGGCGTGGTGGCACATGCCTGTAATCCCAGCTACTTGGGAAGCTGAAGCAGGAGAATCGCTTGAACCCAGGAGGTGGAGGTTGCAGTGAGCTGAGATCGTGCCATTGCACTCCAGACTCGGCAACAAAAGTGAAGCCCCATCTCCAAAAAAAAAAAAAAAAAAAAAAGAATTATATACATAATAGCCTGTATTAATTGTTTTATAATGGCATTTTTCACCACACATGATTCTTGTTTGTTTTTACAGTTTTTAGAGATTTTTCCTATATATATATTTTATCTCTATTCTAGAAAGTAAGTATTCCTTACAGGGAGTAGTTAACCTAGCTTTGATACTTTATTTTCTCAATCTGCACAATTTCTTTAACCTGTCAATTTAATTCCTAAATAAAACTTTTATTTATCCTCTGAATTTTTACAGATAATTTATTCTATGCAAGACACTGTGCTAAGAACCTTGGGATATTCAAAGACAATTAAGATACTTTTCATGCCACCCTGGAGTTTACAATGTAGTAGCAGCGATAATGTATGCAAATTTTAAGGCAATGATAATAGTGCTTTTATAAGAACTACTAACTATTGAGTTCTTACTATGTGCTCAGATGCTTACAGGCACACACTATTATGCCTGGCTACTTTTTGTATTTTTAGTAGAGACAGTGTTTCACCGTGTTGACCAGGCTGATCTCGAACTCCTGACCTCAAGCTATCCATCTGCTTTGGCCTCCCAAAATTCTGGGATTACAGGCATGAGGCGCTGTACCCGACTCACTTTTTAATGTATCATTATTTACCTGTCTTATCTTTCCTTCTAGATTATAAACTCCTTAACGGCAAGTCTTTATATAATAACTTATGTATACCTTAACAAAGTATGCATCTTTAATACTCTTCTGTTCCTAATACAATGTTGCATGTTTTATATTTAAGTACATAAACATATACACATATACATAAAACATGATTTTAATGTTTTACAAGGGGTAAGTGCTCAATACATGTAAGCCTAACGAATGAATTTTGGGAGCCACTCTTAGAAGGTTAGGCTAGTGTATGTACTGTGGGAAGCTTTGAATAGCAGCCAACACGTTTTAAGAATGTATGGGGAGTTTTTGAGCAGACTGGACAGAGTATGAGCTATTTTTCTCTTTGAGATGGAGTCTTGCTCTGTTGTCCAGCCTAGAGTGTAGTGGCACGATCTCAGCTCACTGCAGCCTCTGCCTCCTGGGTTCAAGGGATTCTCCTGCCTCAGCCTCCTGAGTAGCTGGGATTACAGGTATGCACCACCACGCTCAGCTACTTTTTGTATTTTTAGTAGAGACGGGGTTTCGGCATGTTGTCCAGGCTGGTCTTAAACTCCTGACCGCAGGTAATCCGCCTGCCTCGACCTCCCAAAGTGCTGGGATTACAGGTGTGAGCTACCACGCCTCTCTGGTATGGGTTTATAAGAGCAGTTTCAGAGGAGCTCATGAACCACCTGGCGTGTACACAAATGTGTGCATGGGCATACTTCAGGGGAGAAGGTCTGAAATTTTGACGAGCCTTTCAAACATTTTCATGAGCCAAACATTTTACCAGTAGGTATAATAAGTGGAAGAGAAAGCCTGGAGTCCAGCTGAGCCAGAGAACTGGAAGAAACCTTTGAAATCATGTGCATAAACCTCTTCATCTGGATCTCAGAAAAGTTGGGTT